CCATAATATAGTTTTACTTTACATTTTGAATATTTCATATAAAAGCATGTAAAAACAATTATAGTCAAATGAAGGTTGAGGTACATATATATATATTATGGGAGGAAGCTAACTGCTTCCATTATCTGTCCATCGGCTCGTCACAAGAGTCCATCACGACAGAAACCCAATATTTTTACTGTTGCCTTTGTTATATTTGTGTTTTATTTGTGCTGATAAATAAATAAAGGGAGACTAGTATAGTCCTGCATCCGTCATAGAGCTGGGACTTTAAAGTCCTGCCGCTGCATCTGCCATAGAGCGGGACGTCTCCCGCTTTATGGCGGACGCGGCGGCAGGGCTTTGGTGGGGCTTTCGGAACGGGCTGCAGGGCTTTAAAGGGCAACAGGGCTTTAAAGTCCCGGTGCCGTGTCCGCCAGAGTAGGCCGCCTCTCTGGCGGACATGGCGGCAGGGCTTCAGTGGGGATTTTGGAAAACCACGCCTGGGCTTTGGTGTGGCTTTCCAAAAGCCCCGCCGAAGTCCCGGCGCTAGCAGACATAGGGTGGCAAACATAGGTTGGCTTTTGCTCGCTTGCCTCACCGGCCATAAACCTCACCGCACGGTGCATGGTGACCAATAACTTTATGTGTTCAACATTTACTATTTCATGCCAATGTGTCCATGCTTGAATTAAGCTCTGTCATCAACTTCAGCGGATTCTGCTGGACCCAGGAAATATTGGAAACCAAATTACCACTACTTTCATATTAACTCAAAGAACAAGAAACTTCACATCAATCTTTAAATATAAACACTTTGCCTATTGCTTCGTTGCAAGAGTAACTTGTATAAAACAAATACTTGCTCATTCTCCCCCTTTCTCCCCCTAATATATAATTTATCAGAAACTGGTGTAACATAAAAAAATAAGTATTTTTTCATACTATATATGCTTGTTTCAGAATTTTTCTGTACCAATTTACCGCTACTCCTTCTGGCTAAACAGTAAACTGATTCCATGCACCATCAATAAACCCTTAAGTATACTTAACATTAGAAGAGCTATTTGCATAATCCTTTATGTTTGCCAGGCTATTAGTTCAAAGCACAGAAAGTAAGACTGGAAAAAAAAAGGGACTAGATGTAATACATATACATATGAAAGAGCTTAGATATCAAAGGAATGGAGGGAAAGGATTTCTAAGACTTACTTTTCCATCTTCACATTTTGTTCCCGCCAAGACAAGACCTGGATCTGGCATGTCATCCCCCAAGTAAACGTGTGTTCCTCGGCACAGAATTTTGCCTCCTCCTGGTAAAGGGATGTTTGTTTCTATTGAGACAGCATTGGTGCCTATCACAGGTCGACTGGCTCCCCCTTGACACTGAATTTTCCCACACTTTGAATCTCTGAAAAGAGAGGAATAACGTAGATCATTGAAATATCATCAGCATCTCTATTAGTACTGCTTTACTTATTTTTTTTTTCCGGCAGTTCCGGCAGGACTGGGGCTGTTGACCTTATTATGTAGGGTCCAGCCCCGATCAGGACGTATGCGTGTTGGGGAATTTTTAAATTGTTTTTATTTTATTTTGCTTTTTTTTCTTGTTCTTTGTAAGCCGCCCGGAGTCCTCCGGGATTGGGCGGCTAATAAATTGAATTGAATTGAATTTTTTCGTGGCACGACAAAACCGCGCTCGACTAAAGCGCNAGAATAGAATAGAATAGAATAGAATAGAATAGAATAAAAACAGAAACAGAAACAAATAATGCAATGGAATGGAATCGAATGGAGTTGGCGTTGGAGTTGGAGTGGAATGGAATCGAATAGAATAGAATGAAAACAGAAACAAATAATAGAATAGTAAATAGAATAGAACAGAATTAAAACAGAAACAAAAAATAGAATAGAAAATAGAATAGAATTAAAACAGAAACAAATAGAATAGAAAATAGAATAGAATAGAAATAGAAAAGAATTACAGAGTTGGAAGGGTCCAACCCCTTCTGTTCAGGCAGGAAACCCTCCACCACTTCAGACAAATGGTTATCGAACATCTTCTTAAAAACTCTCAGTATTGGAGCATTCACAACTTCTGGAGGCAAGTTGTGCCACTGATTAATTGTTCTAACTCTATTTTCTGTGAAACAGCTTGAACTCTTGGATTCTTCCTAATACAGGTAGTCCTCGACTTACAACCATTCATTTAGTGACCGTTCAAAGTTACCAAAGTGGTTTATGAACTGGTTTTCACACTTATTGAAGGATATTGCAGCAACCCCATGGCCACGTGATCCAGGTTTGGAGGCTTGGCAACTGGCATGTACTTGTGACAGTTGCAATGTCCTGGCATCCTCATGCGATTACCATGTGTAACCTTCCCAGCTGGTTTTGGGGGGGCAAAAGCTATGGGGGCAAATCAGATTTGCTTAATGACCACATGGTTCACTTAACAACTGCAGTGATTCACTTAACAACCATAGCAAAAAAGGTTGTAAAATAGGGTTAAACTCACTTAACAACTGCCTTACTTAACAACAGAAATTTATGGCTCAATTGTAGTTGTAAGTTGAGGAGTGTTTGTATTTAACTGATACCCTATTCCTTGTCAATTAAATCCAGGGTCCTGGGTTTGGGCCCTATGAGATGTTAATGGAATAATGGAAAGCAGAGTTGGAGGTCTTCTAGTCCAACCTCCTCTGTAGGCAGGAAACCCTACACCACTTCAGACAAATGGCTATCCAACATCTTAAAGACTTCCAGCGTTGGGGCATCCACAACTTCTGGAGGCAACTTCTGTTCCACTGATTAATTGTTCTAACTGTCAGGAAATTTCTCATCAGTTCTAAGTTGCTTCTCTCCTTGATAGGTTTCCACCCATTGCTTCTTCTCTTGCCCTTCTGGTGCTTTGGAAAATGGGTTAACCTCCCCTCCTCTTCTTTCTGGCATCCCCTTAAATATCGGAACAACCTACCACCGGGATGGCGAACCGATGGCACACGTGCCACAGGTGGCACGGAGAGCCATTTGTCAGGGCACACAAGGCATTGCCCTGTCAGCTGGCCATGCGCGCTGGCCAGCTGAGTTCAGCCTTTTTTAAAGCCATTTTTCGCCCTCCCCAGGCTCCAGAGACTTTATAGGAGCCTGGGGAGGGCGAAAAGAGCCTCCTTTGTCCCCCGGAGTGCCTTTCATGCATGCATGCACATGGGGGGGGCGTGCATTGCATTATGGGTGCGGCACACCTGTGAATGACCCCCTTGCGCTCCCTTCCCTTATGGCATGCGAGCCAAGAAAGATTTGCCATCGCTGACCTACCGTATGTCTTATGTCACATTGATGGATCCTA